TGTGTGTGTGTGTGTCTCTCTCTCTATATATATATATATATATATATATATATATGTATGTATGTATGTATGTATGTATGTGTGTGTGTGTGTGTATGTGTGTGTGTGTAGATAAATACCGGCACTCCTGGATTTGTACAGCACAACGGTTTATTGTTACAAATCAGTCAACGTTTCAGTTCCTAGCAAGATGTTAGCAGGAACAGCATACACTGAGAGACACAACCAAATTGCTGAGATTGTGTACTGAAACATCTGCACAGAATATGGATTGGGCTTTCCTAAGTCCAGATGGGAGATACCACAAAGGGTAGTTGAGAATGACAGGGCTAAGATCCTGTGGGACTTCAAGATCCAGACAGACAAGCAAGTGCTGGCCAACCAACCACACATTGTGGTGGTAGACCAGGAACGAAAGACTGCAGTCATGGTGGATGTGGCAATACCCAGTGACTATAACATCAGGAAGAAGGAACATGAGAAGGTGCACAAATACCAAGGACTGAAAGAAGAACTAGAAAGTATGTGGAAAGTGAAGGCAGTAGTACTCACAGTTGTGATAGGAGCACTTGGGGCTGTGACTCCCAGCTTGTGGTCGTCCTGATGAAGGTTCCTGAATGGAACTGAAACATTGACTGTTACACTTTTTAGTAAAAGAAGTTCCTAAGAAAGCTACCTGGGAGTGCTGATTTTTTTCTTTTATACATTTAGTGCAATCAAGCACCGGGCCAAATAAATAAGTAGGAGTGCAAGGCTTTTTTTTCATTATTTATATATATCTTGATAAAGACCTGTTCGGTCAAAACGTTGATCCATTGGCAACTATTTGAATACATTATTTTGATTTGATTTGAAAATCCACTGAGTGCTCTCATCATTGATACATCTGATATATATGTGTGTGTATATACTTCCCCTAACCTCACTGTCCAACTTCTCTGGTTACAACTACATGTTTGTTTGTCCACCCACTGTAAACGCTGCGGAATTTGTTGGCGCTACATAAATAATAACATAATTGTGTGTGTGTGTGTATATGTGTATATATATATATATATATATATATATATATATATATACACACACACACACTGTATATAGAGATACAGCCAAAAGTACAAGGTAGCACTCCAGGGACTTCCAAGTCGAATGAATAAAACTTGGCTTTTATTAGCTCAAAATAAAAATCAACGTTTCAGTCTGTATCACAGACTTTCATCCTGATACAGACTGAAACATTGATTTTTATTTTAAAGTAAATAAAAGCTAAGTTTTATTCATTCGACTTGGAAGTCCCTGGAGTGCTATCTTGTACTTTTGGCTGTATAGTTTGCTGATAAGCACCGGGCAAGTACATCAAGGAAGGTGGAGTGCATTACTATTTTTGTTTTATTTATTTATATATATATATATATATATATATATATATATATTTATTTATTTATTATGTGTGTACCGTATAAGTCGAGTTTTTCAGCAAATTTTTTGTCCTGAAAAAGCCCCACTCGACTTATACTCAAGTCAATGTCTGTATTATGGCAACTTACATTGCCATAATACAGACCAGGACAGCCGGGCTCATTACAAGCCCGGCGGTCCTGTTGGGGGCAAGCAGCGAGCTGTAACTTACCTTTACAGCAGCTCCTGTCAGCTCCCTTCTCCTGCGTTCCGCTCAGCTCCACTGTAAATCTCGCGAGAGCCGCGGGGTCAGAGCGTTGCCACGGGTTACCAGTCACACAGCGAGACTTACAGTGGAGCTGACCGGAACGCAGGAGAAGGGAGCTGAACGGAGCTGCTGTAAAGGTAAGTTACAGCTCGCTGCCAGCCCCCCTCCTACACAGCCCATCCACTGGACCACCAGGGAGGGGGGACAAAAATAAATAAATACAAATTTAAATAATAATAAAATAAAAATATTAATAATATAAAAAAAATTTATAATAATAATTAAAAATAATAATAATTAAAATGCCCACCCCCGCCAAGGCTCTGCATCACATACACACACTGCATTCATACACACACACACACACACACTGCATTCATTATATACACACACTGTAAATAAATATTCAATTATTATAATTTTTGGGGGATCTAATTTTATTTAGAAATTTACCAGTAGCTGCTGCATTTCCCACCCTAGTCTTATACTCGAGTCAATAAGTTTTTTCCATTTTTGGGGGGTAAAATTAGGCATCTCGACTTATATTCGGGTCGACTTATACTCGAGTATATACGGTATGTATGTATGTATAAAATCCAAGATATCAGTAAGATTAAACGAACACTGAAACCTGAAACTTATCTACTACATGTAAATATCTCTAAAATGCCCAAAGCAGAATATGACTTGGTAGTACATGTTTTGCTGGCAATAAAGATCACAATAGCCAGAAAATGGAAATCTGTAATACCGCCACCTTGGAATGAGGTTAAAAATCAACTTAGGTTTATTTGTTTTTTCTCTCTTTGCATATCCTGTTTTAAGTCTGCATTTGCTCTCTTTGCAGTATTCTCCTAGCATGACAATGAGTGTGTGATTCATCATCTAGTCTCGTCATGAAGACTGCAGTGAGTCAGCCCTCTTCACAGATCTACCACGGAAGAGAAGCATCCATCACGTACAGTTTAACTAAAGGATCCCACTGCACAAACCTTTTCATTTATGTTGCCATGCACCCTATTTTGTGAAGAAGCGGGTCCAATCCTAAACATCTGTAAAGAGCGGCATATGTAAGAATTGCCCTGAACCGAACTGCAATTTATCATCTGTACATATATATATATAAATATATATAAATATATATATATTCCCACAGGACATTGTAAAAGGATATTATCACATGTCATCTTAAGTAGCAAGACATAGAGACTTTTATTCCATCTTTTTGTTTTTTTGTTTTTTTTGTTGGGGGGTTTTTTTTTCCACGTTTACATTTTAATTTAAAAAAAACAAAAAACGAAAAAAAAAAAAACAAGATTGCATTTTCTCCCTGAACTATTTTGTGCTGTGTATATCACTGCTTAATAAGTTATTTTTTAAGGTAAACTCAAATGTCGTTCTGGTTTTGTAAATGTCTGCAATCATGGATAGGAATAAAATGCTTATGAGTGCTTTTATTAAATTGCTTTTGATACAAGTTACCCTATGAATAACTGACTGATGCCTGGGGGAATTGTTCGTGTTGGCACTGTCGCTTCGGGACTCATGTAAGGGTGCCCTTTGTATATAAACAGAATGTTTCCAATGAAACGATGATGCCACTGCCTGTTTGCTGTAGCACTTCTGGGACTGTAAGGACATTTCGAAAACCTGGCAATTTTTTTTTTTTCTAAGATACTTGTCATTGCACAGGAGATTATACCCACTGAGGACAGATTTCATACCAGCGCAGTTGAAGCAGCAAGGTATTCTAGTGGAAAATCTCAAAATGTGAGGTATTTGCAATGTTAAAAAAACAAACAAAAAAACAAACAAAAAAAACATGATTTAGTGATTTAATGGAGGCCATGTGTGTAATTAACTCTAATAATTGTTTCACCAATCACTTGCTTTTATCAGCTACTTGAGTTTGGGAATGTTGATAACTTCATATTGTGAGTATATTTATTATTATTATTAAGCTCTTAATTTTTCCAATATCAACATTTCTTGTACAAATCTGCATTTTGGTGAGAGATGACCACAATTACCTGTAAATGGAAACTTGAGGGGAAATCTGGAACACGTAGATGGAATCAACAATGATTTGTGCAGCGCACACGGGCACACACGTTCTCTAGTTCCAAAAAGAAAAAATGGAAGCAGTTCTAAAACCTGACTTTTAAGCATTATTTGTTAGTGTGGCAAACAAGACGTGACAATGGCCTCAAACCTAAGATACCCATGGCTTTCATTATATAACACAATTTCTTATATGGGAGACGAGCTGGAATGCATGATTCTGAAAGATCGATGTAAAGTTGGACATCACTAATCTAGAAGAAAATAATGTGATATCGGATTGTAAGTGCTTCACTGGTTCAGCCACATACTATATTGGACAGTTGTGTCAAAGTTGTTGTTCCGTAGGGGTTATAGTAAAAGATCTGAAATTTCTACAGTGAGCACAATATATCAAAAAATCTGAGGAAGATTGGGAAAAAGATGGTCTCTCTGAGACCCTTTCAAAGTATGAGTTATGGGCAGAGAGAACCCTGCTTTAGCTCTCATCTCTGAGAGTGACCCAGAACTGCAGTAATTTGTAAACCGCTCTAACAAGGTTACTCAGAGGCAGCCTATGTGCTTGGGTGTGGAAGCCAAATATTTTTATTCTGTAAACTGCAGACATGTTCTCTTGTGTATACAGGTAAACCAGCATTGTCATGTATTTCATGTATTCTTACTTTCTACCTGCGCTGTAATTCAAGCTTGGCTATTTTGGCTTTAACTGTGCAATTTCTGATAAATATTCAACAATTGCAATTTATTGTGTAACTCCTGGCTGCAAATGAATAAGCGGTAAGTAGAATCTAAATGTTCACCCAAGGAACTTGTTGCTGGAATAGGAAACACCATGATTAAAGGAACACTATAGTCACCTAAATTACTTTAGCTAAATAAAGCAGTTTTAGTGTATAGATCATTCCCCTGCAATTTCACTGCTCAATTCACGGTCATTTAGGAGCTAAATCACTTTGTTTCTGTTGATGCAGCCCTAGCCACAGCTTCCCTGGCTATGATTGACAGAGCCTGCATGGGAAAAAAAAAACTGTTTTCACTTTCAAACAGATGTAATTTACCTTAAATAATTGTATCGCAATCTCTAAATTGAACTTTAATCACATACAGGAGGCTCTTGTAGGGTCTAGCAAGCTATTAACATAGCAGGGGATAATAAAATCTTAATTAAACAGAACTTGCAATAAAGAAAGCCTAAATAGGGCTCTCTTTACAGGAAGTGTTTATGGAAGGCTGTGCAAGTCACATGCAGGGAGGTGTGACTAGGGTTCATAAACAAAGGGATTTAACTCCTAAATGGCAGATGATTGAGCAGTGAGGCTGCAGGGGGATGTTCTATACACCAAAACTCCTTCATTAAGCTAAAGTTGTTCAGGTGACTATAGTGTCCCTTTACGTATTCATCACATTTTGTTGTTAGAGGGGAAGTATGTCTCTATGGTTATTGCATATGCATATGGTATGCAAACTTGATTATTCATATAGGTAAATCATTTGTGAATTCTCAGGGGAACTGCACATTCCAAATGCTGTATCAAAACAATAGCAAGAACATGTTTTGTGCATAGAAAAGAATAACAACAAAATAAAGTGGAGCATCTGGGGAATTGGCACAAAAAACATTATTCTATAAATATATACACTGAGCTTTCTGAGACCAGCATCTAATACTATACTCCTATCACATTAGGCCAAGGGTGCCCACATTGTAAGTAATCAAACCATTTTTGACTTCTTACCTGGAGTCTGCTGGGAGCCACTCCCTATCTCCAGTACTAAAGGTCGATATCAGGAAGCTCCTAAGCACAAACCTCCACTTGATTACTTCATTGTCTACAAGTATCAGATGGTCACTGGTAGCCAATGAGCTAACGGAAGGTTCTGCAGCAACTTCAGCAGTAGTGATACCCAATACTTTGGAATTAATTGATTGACAAACGGGCATCTATGTGTTTTCTGCTTATATTGTATATCCCATATGCTCTCTAAATCTGCTGCTGAATGTTTGCACTTCTTCCCCATCCACTTCTTTGCCCTTTACTTTTCCTACCTCTTTTTATTCATTTTCTCTTTTGTGGTAAATAAAGGGTTAAAAACCCTTTACTTACCTGATCCCAGCATCGATGTGCCTCAGCGCTGGGTTGTGGCTTTGCCTCCTCCGACGTTACTGACCAGGGGAAGCTAATGTGCATGTTCGGTAAGCTCTGCGCATGCATTAAGCCCTCCCCATAGAAGAGCATTGGGGAAATAACTGACGCTGGATGTCCTCATGCAGACCAAAAGTCTGTTAACATACAGGAAGTGCCTCCAGTGGCTGTCTGGGAGCCAGCCACTGGAGGCAGACATAGTGCTGTAATGTAAACATTGCAATCTCTCTGGATGTTTTACATTGTATCTCTAAGTGCAATAGGCACAGTGCACCTAGATCACTTTAATGAGCTGAAGTGGTCTGGGTGTCTATAGTGTCCTTTTAATATTAAAATAAACCTTCACTATCAATAAAAATTAAACCTGGGGGAAACCTTTATACCCATTCCTTAAGTAGAACTAATGGGAGAGCAATCTCCTGGTCCTCAATAACATGCACACTCTGGATGCTAGGGTTCCCAAATCCTCCCAGGTACCCATTTGCATCCTAAAGTTAAGTGCACCTACCCATTGTCTTCCTCTAATATGGACCAAGGGGCACATATTTCTCTAGAAGAGACAATTCAAGATAGGCCGTTGTTCTAATTTTGTCACAATTTCAATGTTTGTGACAATGCCACTTGCTGTGGATGTATGGGTTTAATGCAGTGTGTTACAGGGTTAGTATAACATGTTTATTTATAATTCTAGGTTCTTGAAATACACTGAGTTTTTGTTTTACAGAACACATTAGGATTTAAAGTAGTGTTTCGGGTTAGTTTTAGTCAATATGTAGATGAGGGGCCATAAAATGTACTGTTGGGCAGATGCCCCTGGTCTGTTTGACACCTAACTATGCCTCTACCTTGCTGCACAGAATCAGGTGGATACATACCTATTTTCCTGTTGGGCTGACTCTAAGATGCAATGCTAGCCACTTTCACTGTGAGTCTTAACCCTTTCAGTAAAGGTGTCCTATCTTGCCCTTACTAACAGTATATGGAGTAGCACACACGCCTGCTTTATACAGTTTAACCCTTTGAGCAATGAGTATTGCATTCATTTGTCAAACTGACTCTTTTTTCACAAATGATATTGTACCTATTCTGGTGCAAGTTTTATGGGATCTTTTAAATGTTTCATTTTTATTGTTGAATTCACATCTTATTGCGGGGGAAACTACTGCCATCTTGAGGCTTACTTGGCAGGTATTGTTTATCCCGTTACGTGTGGAAATAGGATGCCTGGAAATAATTGGCAAACATTGATAGTTAACTCGAAAATGATTACCATTTGAAAAAAAAAAAAGAAAAGAAACTTTATTAGCAACAACATCACATACATTGATTTACATGACTTAAGTATTCAAAAAAGAGTTTACGCATTAAAGCCATAAGATTTTTCAGTGTGATCTCTGGAATTCTGCAGCTGCCCAAAAAATAATCTAAGACTGTTAACACCGACATATCTAAAGCTGAATAAGATTTATAGGTTTATAAATGGATTGGCAATGATTTCTAACATGTAAAGGACCATTTCATGAACCTGAAGTAGACTTAAAACCCAGCCAGCCATTGATCCAAATAAGAATCTGAAAAACTTAATAATTGCTGTTCACCAATGGTCCCTACCTACCCGTAAGCAATTTTACCAAGCCCAAGGGTCTGACATTGCTAGTAGAGATTTACTCTCACAGTTGAAATTGCAGGAAAACATTATTTATGTGTATTGTGAGTGGGTTGAATACTTGAAAACAAACAAACGTTCGCTTTGCTTTTCGTTTTTTTAACCTTTGTTTCACCAAAAAAAAAAAAAAAACATTAAACCTCAAAGTGTTGGGCATATTGTGTGAAACAAAACCAAAGATCCCCACAGGGTTATTCACCATGGTGTTAATCCATAGTAAATTCAAATGTAAAGCCAGAATAGCTAAACTGGGTTCCAGTTTGGCTATTTTACCCTAAAACTTGAAATTCACTTTTAACTCTTCCTTCCGTAAATAATCCTGTATATAATAATGTATTTTAATTTCAAGCTATGACAAAATGTATTAGAGAGGGGAATGATTTTGCAAGGTAGTAGTCAGACTAGCAAAGTACATAAAAACCCACAAACCAATACCAAACAGACTAATAAGGCATTGGAATTAGCCTCCTTACTAGCTGTTTAGATGTATTCTTTGAGAACACTCAGGGTAGTTGTAATTTACAATTCACAAAACCAAGTGATATGATCTGTCCTATGTTATGTACGTTCATTGACTTAGTTCCATCGTCACGTTTCCCACCAATTACATAATTTGTTCCCTTTAGATAGATCAAGAGATGCTTAATCCAGGAAATAACTCTATGTGCGTCCTCTAGTAAACAGCAACAGGCTACTGCTCTGATTTCACAATGCAACCGGCTGAGAACGAAGTGGAACCTTATCTCAGCGGAATGTTTCCTTATGACCTACAAGGTGACTTTGATATAAAAATACATGCAAACCTTTCGGCTTCCTCATCACCATTTAAAAAAATAATAATAATATTCTTGTAGGATAATGAAACCTATGTAGCTATATGGAAAAAAATATGTATTCAAATAATAATTTCGTCTTGCTTGTTTATTACTACCTGTTCATTACTACAGTCTTTCCCTGAAAATAAGACTGGGTTTTATATTCATTTTAATCCAGAGAAACGCACTATGGCTTATTTTCAGGTCTTTTTTTGGGTAAAAACGTATGCTAGAAAGCAGGTCTGTGTTTGGGGGAATTCCCCCAAACATAGACCAGTTCACTAGGGCATGGAATCCTGCAAATCTATGTTTGAGAAAACTTTGCCGAACATAGATTAGTTTACTCGCTAATAGAATATCGCAAATCTATGGTCGAGGAAACTTCCCCAAACATAGATTAATCTACTTGCGAATGGAATCTTGCGTATCTATGATCGGGGAAACTTCCTCAAAAAATAGATAAGCTTACTCGCGAATGGAATCTTGAAAATCTGTGTTCGGGGAAATTTCCCCAAACATAGATTAATGAAGGCTTCGGGGTAGAGCACACGGTATTCGACTAGGTCATCCGTTTTCAGACAAACACTTTTTCTTAAAATATCAGCTAGACCCAAACTAATAGAAATTACAAGGAATGAAATGAAGAACAAATTGCTTGTTGAATGAAATTTCATCCATGCTATTTATTAGTTTGTTTACTTAATTACGGACAGCTTCCTCCTTGTAATATTTAAGAATAGAGGTGGCGGGGAGCCATTCACCAGTGACTGCTCGCTGTCATAAGAAAAGACTACCAATTCAATTGCTAATCCTATAGATGCCATGGTGAGGCACCTATTTAAATAGCTGGGGGAAGGGCATGATGTCCCCCTGTGCCCTGCACATAGGGCTATTGAACTAAATGGGGGCTAATTATATTAATAATGGGGGGGGGGCATTTTTACTTTAATAGTTTGACAAGACTTAATGGAATTTTATTTTGTCTTTTTGGGGGCTTAAACAAGAAGATGTAATAAGAAAGAAAGGGGCAGGTAGCGACTTGTGAACCACTAGTTAACGAGGGGGAGTATTATGAGCCCCCACCCGCTGCCAGTGGTTGAGAGGTGGGGGACTATATGTCCAACCCCCAATTTATTGTTTAGTGCACCCATCTGCCGCAAATAGGTGGACACTAGGACATCCATTTAATTTAATAACTTCTACTTGCAGACCGTCGTCTGCAAGTAGTAATTACATTAAATGGAGGTCCTAGTGTCCACCTAGTCTCCCCCCCACCTCCCAACCATTGGCGGTGGGTGGGGGCTCACAGGCTCACTATGCCCCCCTCAGTTAATTATTTTTTTTTTGGTGCCTTTCCAGGTGGGCATGGGGGACCTGTACAATGTCCCACTTTATTACTGCTGCTAAGTCTCTAGTCTTTATTATGACTGCTCGCTGTTTAGTAGACATGCCCCATACTCATGGCAGGAATGAGGTTTTAACCTCCCCTTTTTTTTTTTTTTTTTAGTAATTCTAGATTTTTTATTTAAAAAAAATAAAAATTATTTAGCATTAGTATTGTAGTCAAATTCCACCCTCCTTTACCCAGTCCTTATAAAAATTAACCCCTTCCCTGCCAGTTGATCACTACCTACAGTGATCAAAATACAGATCACAGTATTATACTGTGATCCAATTATTATTTTTTTAACCCCTTAGAGTTAACTTTGTTTTGGTTTTTTTGGGTTTTTTTAGCCCTCAGGTTAAAATATTTTTAAATGATATATTGTGCTAGCTGGGGTGGGTGGGAGTTATGGGAAATTGGGGAATTTACCATTCGTGCTGCTTACTGCTAGTTAGGGGTTAACGGTAAAAAAAAAAAGAAAGCTTATAAATATGTTAAATCTGTAAAAAAAAGTTTTAAAAAGTTAAAAATACATTTAAAAATGCTTATTACCACTACACCTGGAACAAACTAGAGAAAAAATGATCCCACGCTAAGGTTCAAAATACGCCTTTTTAATTACCCCTTTAATAAATAGTATGTGTTTGTGGGGAAACTTCAATAACAAACCATCTAAACTACTCCAAAATGGAACATGGGCACAACGTAAAACTTCAAAGTTAGAAAAAAACTGAATGGCTGCGTCTCAAATGTGCCCCTTCAACATCCACATATACCTGGCAAATGTACATATGGGGTTATAGCTGTACTCAGACGACATAGCTGAGCAACATATGTAGTATTATACCGTAGTAGCACACATAAGGTTTGCAAAATATACCGTGCAAACTCACTTTGTGTGTCAAAAAGGCAGAAATATGTTTATTACCACTACACTTGGTACAAGCTAGTGGAAAAATTATCCCACGCTAAGGTTCAAAATATGCCGTTTGCAATACCCTGGGATGTCTTCTTTAAGAAATGGTATGGCTTTATGGGGTGTTTGGATTATATAGCCTGGTAAAATACTCTAAAATGGGACATGGGCACAGCGTAAAAATGTAAAGTTTGACAAAAACTGGAATGGCTGTGTCTCAAATGTGCCCCTCCGATGTCCACATATACCTGGAAAAGGTACATACGGGGGTATTGCTGTAGTCAGACAACATAGCTGAGAAACATATGAAGTATTATACAGTCATGGCACACATAAGATTTGCAAAATATACTGTGCAAACTCACTTTGTGTGTCAGAAAAGGCAGAAAAAAACGCTTTTTACCACTACACTTGGTACAAGCTAGCGAAAACATTATCCCACGCTAAGGTTCAAAATATGCCTTTTGAAATACCCTGGGATGTCTTCTTTAAGAAATGGTATGCCTTTATGGTGTAGTTGTAATATGTAGCCTGCTCAAGTGCTCCAAAGTGGGACACGGACGCATCAAAATTCACACTTAAAAACCTGAACTTGTCACGTCTCTTTTACAGCACTGTAACTTCACAAAATAGTGTCTAGGTCATAAGTTGGGCATATTGTTTTACTCGGAAGGTGTAACTGAGTATAATTTGGGGATTTATATGACAGTGATACATATTAAGTGTAAGAAATAATCAGCAAAAATGCAACATACATGTAAAAATGGCATTTCTCCCCTCACCACAAACATTGACATAAATTGGTGAAAAAATGGTGACAAGTTAAGGCACAATATACACAATATAAGCCTTTTGATAAAGGGCTTTATCAAATGAAAGCCCTTTGTGGGGTTATTTGAACAGTCACACTGCTAGAATACCCTAAAATGAGACATAGACCCGTCAAATCCATCTACTAAAAATTCTAACTATAGAAACTGAAATAGCCTTGTCTCTTATATGGCACTGTAGCTTTACAGAATAGTGCCAAAGAATGGGGGTATCATTATACTCAGCAGATGTAGCTGAACACAATATGGGGTTCTGTGCAGGAATAGCACACACCAACCAATACGAAATACACATTACAAAAACCTTGTTATATGTGGATATGCCAAAATAGAGAAAAAACACAATTTTACTCCAATATTTAGCAGAGATTGGCGATGAAATGGTTATGTAAAAAGTATCAAACTAACCTTAGGTAAACAGCCTGTGATGTCTACTTTATATAAATATATACTTTTGTGTGGCAATTTTGTTTTCTGTGATGGCTACTAAACCTACAAGACAAACATACCAAATTCTAAAATTGTTGCAAATTGAAATTTTATTTTTGTCCTTGTATATTGTGACGTGTAGCTTTCAAAATAAGCTGAAATCCTATACATATGACGTACTCTATAAATCAAGACACATAAATTAATTTATTTTGAATTAGTTTTTCTAAGCTTTTTCACTTTTTTGTCATTTTTATATAATTAATGAGAATGTATCTATGTATATGTGACATCAAATTAAAGCCCTGTTTGCCCTCTAAAAAAACGATGTATAATATGAGTTGGTGCAATAAATGACAGAGATGCAAATTGCGTTTGAATACAAACAGCAGAAAAATGGAGAAATGGCCTTTTAAGCGTAAGACAAGCTTCTGAAGCTGTGTCCTTAAGGGGTTTAAGAAGCACTTCAATGTTAGGAAACTCTTACTGTACTTACCCAATTCCAGCACACTTGGTCAGCACTCTGCCTCCTCTGACGTCACCTGATGGTGACTGCAAGCGCATTAGGCCCTCCCAATAAAAAAAATAAAAAGCATTGCTTTAGTGCTTTCCTATAGTGACTTAACAGATGCTGGATGACCTCATGAGACCAAAAGTCACCTGGCTAGCAGGAAGAGCCTCTACTGCAGGGATGCCCAAAAGGTATATCCACATATGTTGTAGAACTACAATTCCCATGAGGCTTTGCTTGCCTTTAGAATGACAAAGCATCATGGAAGCTGTATTTAAAAAAACATCTGGGAATCTAACTTTTGGGCACTCCTGCTCTAGTGGCACTTGCTGCTAGATAGGAAGGCACTAGAGGCAGTCTTAACCCTGCAATGTAATTATTGCAGTTTCTCAATATTGTTTGGCATTTGCTTAGCATTCCTTACGCACTGGGCTCACAGAAAATCCTGCGCTTCCGCGCTTCTCACTGTGAAAATCGCAGTAAGAAGACGCTGACATCCATAGGAAAGCATTGAGAAATGCTTTCCTATGGACTGATTGAATGTGCACGCGCGCGGCTGTTGCATCGGAAGAGGGAGGAGATTTCCCTGGTGCTGGAAAAAGGTAAGTGTTTTAACCCCTCTTGAGCTCGGTGGGAGGGGGACTCTGAGGGTTGGGGGGACCCAAAGACCATATAGTGCCAGGAAAACGAGTTTGTTTTCCTGGCACTATAGTGGTCCTTTAAGTTTATATAATATTCATGGCAATAAAATGTAGACATAAAGAGAAAATTATAGGTTTGTAGGAGTGCACTAAATAATGATATTAACAGTGTGGATCTGGACCCTAGCAATATACAGTTAGATATTCCTCCAGCAGATGGCACTGTTGTACAGTATAGGCCCCAAGCAAAGTCTGCATTGTGTTTGTAGTCACTGGATGTATTGTATCAGGGTACACTTCTTCACTGTAGGAAATGTAACATTTATACTTCAGATACTGTGGTTTGGTTGTGACTTTGGCCACCAGGTATTCTAGTGATGGATTAAGACCTGCTTAGCATGATTAGCCCCACTACCATTTATTTATTACGTTGTACAATATAATGGGTTAAGGGGAGTAAATTAGGACAGCCACAAAATACATTTGAAAAATACGTCACAGTAAGCCCCATAACCATAGGCCTCTATGCAAAAACTATAATTTGTGTAAACCTTAAGATCCACTATTTTCCTTTATATTAACGATTTCACGTATTTTATTATTCTCTAGTACTGACAAGGCATAGTCAGAGCATAAATTGCAAATGAGAAAGAGAAAAGTAAACATTGTTTCTGTCTCCTATTCTCTCTATATACTTTATGCTGACTGCCAGTAATCCCTGTAATACTGGATAACGGCCAGTAGATGGCAGTCACAGACCACTTTCTACTTTTTTTTCACGCCTAATGTGTTAGGTATACATATAGACTATGAAAAGAAAGTCATTTTTGTGCCCTTTAAAATCCAATATATAATATGTACATGCACTTAAATAGAAACCATTGAATAATAGTGGAACAAACCCAATCAGTAGCTGAACTCAAAGCGTAGCTAAGAGAATGTTTACCATTTGACTATTTTGACCTTAAATTTGAAATTCCCTTTAAATTCTCACTAGTTAATAACTTTGTATATATTTAGCACCAAACACCCCTGAGTTCCCTGTTAGTAAATAGCCCTGTAATTACAAAGTCTCTGTGGACAATGGTCCTGAGCAATTTCTGAATTAGCCATGCCAGGTTAGGGGTCCTTCAGGGGGATTACAAACCCTTTCAGATTATTTAAATTATATATCAAATATTTCTCCTCTGAAAATGTGTTTACCAATTGCTAGCATCCTACCTTTCAAATAAATGTACTGCTTATTTGTGCACTTGCTCTGTGTAATTGCAGAGTTAAAGATACAAGGAAATGAATTGTTCTGTGCATTATAATAAATCCGGTAAAGGGAGGTCAGAGATGCCATTATTTACATTGTTACATAACTCCACTGAGCAGCTCCTCCCACAAACACAATATACCAGCACCATTGCTTGACACACCAGCACCAATCCTGCCCTGTGTATTGAGATCACATGGAGTTCTGTAACTGGATCTCTGGGATTAATAGTAACAATGTATATTAAGCAATGTTTCCCATAACAGCCAGCTGGGTGAGTGATGGCTATGGGAGGTAAGGTGTGTCCAGCCACTCACTACCTGGGAGCACAGCCAGACACTCAGTCACCGCCTGCTGGGACTACACGTGACCTTCACTCAGCTGGGAGCAGGCTGCACTTGGGATCAGCTGAGTGAGAGCTCCCTGCACACACACTGCTGGGAGGGTGATCACACCTGATGCTGACCCAGGCTGTGAGTACTCATTGCTGTGATCTGCACTCACGCAGTGTAGTCTCTCCCTAACTCACTGAGTGACCCCTCTGCTTTGTATCCCCAGCACTCACCCATTGCTGCTCCCAAGTCCCATTCCTCCCTCCCCGACTGTCTCATGCTGCCCACAGGGGAGACACCAGGAGTGCTCCCAGAGAGTGCAGGGAGAAGAGAGAGCTCAGTAATGTCCTCTGGCTATGAGAGTGCAGGGAGAGCTCCCTGGAGAGAGAACTCAGCCATGTCCTCTGGCTATGAGAGTGGTGAGGTGCAGATGTGCCATACGGTGTATCCCTGGCACTCTAACCACCTGGGGGAGCTGAGTGCTGGACAGCTCCTGACATGGATTGATATCACTGCCTGCCTTGCTGGTAAGAACCCTGGAGTCTGATCTGTTACTTGTAGCAAGTCCATATGATTTTAGAGTTCTATAATGGGGGAATGTACTTATTCAACCTCTGTGTTAACATCCACTAAACTGTTAATACAAAAAAATCACTAAATGCTAATTAAGCTTGAAACATCTATTGTTTGTTTTGTGTGTTTTGTTTTGGTTCCCCCATAGTCTGCAGCATTGATATGCTGCAGGAGGCAAACCAATCAATGTAGGTATTTAGGGATTCCCCCATGATTGATCTATTTCTCTCTTGTAGCATATTGGTGCTGCATTCTACAAAGCAGGACTCTTCCTGTATACTATATATATATATATATATATATATATATATATATACCCAATAAATCATTTAAGAATAATACTGTCTCATGTCATATAGACTGTAAACTCCTTTGAGCAGGATCCTCTTCAACCTATTGTTCCTGTAAGTTTTCTTGTAATTGTCCTATTTATAGTTACATCCCCCCTCTCATAATATAGTAAAGCGCTACGGAATCTGTTGGCGCTATATAAATGGCAATAATAATGTAAAATTAAATTAAGGGTTTTTTTTTTCTCTCTCTCTTGAAAACCCATGGAATTAACCTCTCAGTTGCTGCATTCTTGGGGCTTGTGCCTGAATACTTTGTATACAACATAACCTCCTCAGATTCTAAGCTATCTGCTGATGCCTCCTGTCCCTTTTAAGGCGTGTGAACCTGACATAAATAGCTAAATGTAATTGTTCCATGGTTATTAAACTTAAATGTCCTGCAGCCAGAGCTCTCACTTACTTCTACAAGCTGTAGGGTGTGACATGAAAAGTTCCTTTTTTTTTTTTATTATTTATATGTTGCAAGAGTTATCCATTAGCTAATCAAACCATTTACTGGGAAAGTCCTCATTTAAGGAACAGATTTAATTACTACAGAATGTGAATAATGCATATTGCAGCTCTAGTTAATGAACAGACAGTAAAAGGTCCATTGTTCTGACTTAATCAGCCATTAACGTTATACTTCAGGTAACCGCTACCATGCTACATTCAGCCCTAGCAATCGCTTAGCAAATTGAATCTAATCAACTTGACATATTTTATATATATTCACTATACACACTGCAGCACACTCTCAATGGAATAGATTATTGGTGCCTGGTGAGTCCCAGGTAAGTTGTCAAACCATTATGAACGGTTTACGGTTTGACTGCTTACATATGGAGGTGTGTCATGACACTTGGTATTAAATCCGCTACAGGCTTTTAGGAAGGTAATTTTTTTTTTCATTTGGAATGCTCAAAAAAAAAAAAAAATATATATATATATATATATATATATATATATATATATATATATATATATATATATTAATTAAAAGGCTTGGCCTGTAGTTGTGGAAGGGGCTTGGTTTCCCTATAAAAGGGCTGCCAATCCACTCCCACATTACCGTAATGGTCTGGCGGGTCTGAAACGTTACTTCCGGTTCAGACCGCCATCTTGGATTCCTCTTACTTGTTTCCTCGTGGTCTCCTGGTCCGGTGCCCTCCTGAGTTGTCCGGGCTCTTTTCCCGCCGCCACCGTCGTCCGCACAGCTTCCCCGGTACTGCTGCCGCCAAAAAACGTAAGTTGGGCCCGCCGTAAAGCAAACCGCTTCGTATTCACGGCTTACACGGCGGAGCCCCATTCGCATTCAACCGCATTCGGTACTTTTTCGTTTAAATACACTTCGCCGCTAAGCAATGTAATTCATGCTTTTTAGCATTCATACGAACGCTGCATTCGGCCAGATACTTAGGATTTCTACCAAACAAAGGTAGTCATTATATACTGTCATCACATTCGACTTAAATTTGTGCATTTCTCACTAATTATACAAGATCCTGCATCCACTTCTTAGGTGGAATCTCGCCCCCTACCGGTC